ACCAGGGGGCAGACCCTCAATGCAGGAGTTGCTCCCTGGTGGTCAGTGCACTCCCACAGGGAGAGTGCCATTCATCCAGAATCTGGTTCACAGCTGGCCAGTGCAGTGTTGGTGGCAGGAGCTTCTCCTGCCTCTGCTGCAGGTCGGTGGTAAGGAGCGAGGGGTCCTGGACTGTGAGAGGTCACAGGCCAGGCTGAGAGACCCCTCCCCACCAGTGCATGAAATTTCTAGTGCCGCTAGTATCAGATAAATTTCTTATTTCTTTTCATTTATCTCTTCTTCTGAAGAATTCTCTTGTTCTTTCATTTTGGGCTTGTTTTTTTTGTCTCCTCATTTTGCTGCCTATTTGGGTTTGTGACCATGTATTAGGTAGATCTGCTATGCCTCTCAAATGTGTTTCTGACTATGTAGATCAGGGAAAGACTCAAAGCCTCCAGAGCAGCGGTCACCAACCTTTTGGACCTCACGGACCACTGGTTAGTGACCACTGCTCTAGAGACCACCTGTGCCTGAAGAATGATTGGATTCAGTCTTGAGTAGTCCTCAGGCAATGGTCCACAGGTGTGGCGAGTTTTTCCAACAGGGTGGGGCAATTGCTTCTGCCTGGAGGCTAAATTGTTAGTCTCTTTTTTAAAATATATTTTATTGATTTTCCACAGAGAGGAAGGGAGAGAGATAGTTAGAAACATCGATCAGCCGCCTCCTGCACATCTCCTACTGGGGATGTGTCCGCAACCCAGGCACATGCCCCTGACCGGAATCGAACCTAGGACCTTTCAGTTCGCAGGCCTACGCTCTATCCACTGAGCCAAACCGGTTTCGGCAATTGTTAGTCTCTTAATGTGCCTCAGGAACTCCACAGGGAGGGGAAAGGTGTTTTCCAATAGGGTGGGTCAAGTTTCCCCCAGACAAAACCACCTGGGTAGCAAATATCTGCCTGAGAAAGAAGCTCTCCGCATGGTGACAGAATGACTCAGCACAGGAAACCAGGGTGCCTGTCTTCTGAGCTCTAACCTAGAGCCCCCAACTCTGGCTTCTGCTCCAGTTCACTCTGCCCTCCCTCTGCCGGAGCACAAGAAATTTTGTATGTTGGCCCTTTAAGAGGATGCCTGTATTTCTAGCTGTCTCTCCCTGGCTGACAGCAACCCTGCTGCTTTTCAGAGCGGGATGGTATGCTGGCACCGTTCTCAGTTCTGGTGCTCTCTGCTAGGGCGTTTAGCTTGGGATTAGACCCCAGAGTTCTCAGTAGAACCCCCCACAGCCGAGACGTCTCTCTGGAACTTCAGCTGCTGTCTGTGGGTGCCGGCCTGCCCTTTCATGCCTCTGCCCTTTCTACCAGTCCCTACATGGTCTCCATTTTTCATCCTTGGTTATGAAGGTTCTCTCCAGCGAGTCCTCAGTTGATTATTCAGGATTGTTTTTGTATTTTAGTTGTAATTCCAGTTTCGTTCTGGGAGCATGTCTGTATAGCATCCACTTACTCTGCTTCTCTTTAATCTCCTGGAGTTTATATTTTAGTTGAGGATACAAACAAGTTTATCCTGTGCTTGATTATAAGTGCTCTGGAGAGATTAGAGCCAGTGAGAGGGCTTGGGTTTGCGTGACGGGGATGGAGTTGTGTGGGATTACAAGTTTAAATGGCATAGGCAGGGAAGTCTCCCTGAGGAAGTGTCAGTTTAGGGATAAGTTAAAGGAGGTGAAAAGAAGAGCCAAGTAGTATCTGGAGGGAAGGGCTAGCAGAGCCCCTGAGGCGGGACTGTGCCTGGAAGAGTGAGCTGGCTGGTGTGACTGGAGCACTGTCAGTGATGGGCTGGGGCGGCGACTGATGCAATCAGCTGTAATGGCAGGAAGGACATTTGAGCCTTATGGCCATTTCAGTCTTTGGTTTTTACTCTGTGAAAAAAGGAGCCATCATAGGGGTTTGAGCAGAGGGATGACATTATCTGACTTAATCAGATCACTTTGGCTGTTAAAAATAAGCAGCAGCTGCCCTGGCTGGCATGGCTCAGTGGTTAGAATGTTGACCCATGCACCCGAGAGTTGTGGGTTCAATTCCTGGACAAGGGTGCAAACCTGGGTTGCAGGTTTGATCCCTATGTCGAGTCAGGGCATGTGTGGGAGGCAACCAATCGATGTGTGCTCTCACATCTGTTTCTCACTCTTTGAGAGAGGGTTCAAACAAACCCAGCAGGGTCCCTGCTGCTGAGGCTCTGTTGGTTGGAGCACCATCCTGTATACCAGAAGCTTTCCGGTTTGATTCCTGGTCAGGGCACATGCGTGGGCTGCCAGTTCGACACCCAGTTGAGATGCCTACAGAGGGTAACCCAAGGATATATTTTTTAGAGAGAATGGAAGGGAGGGGAGGAGGGGAAGAGAGAGGAAACATTGATGTGAGAAAGACACATAAACAGGTTGCCTCCCGCATGCACCCCTACTGGGGATTGAACCTGCAACCCTTTGATGCGTGGGCCGATGCTCTAACCACTGAGTTACACCAGCCAGGTCTCCAAGTCATTTTTACTATTCTTTAAAATAGGGTTGTTGTGAAGGCCAAATTGAATGTGATAATATAGTAAGTAATTCTAAAGTGATCAATTATTAGATATCAGAGCGGTACCCTGTCCTCCAGCATGTCTTCCCCCGATAGCTCTACCTACTCGAGCCCTACTTACTAGTAAACCTTCCTTTTCTCAGTGTTGGAGCCTGAGACCTGTGCTCTTGTCAGTGGACAGTTCTGGATGCCTGCCTTGGCATTTTGTGAGAGTGGGTCCTGGGAGAACCTAAAAGGGTCTGGGCTTTTTGTTTTTGAGATAAAATTCACTATTTTAACTATTTAAAACAAACAACTCAGTGGTCTCTAGTATATTCACATAATTGTGCCATTACCACCACTGTCTAATTTCAGAACATTTCCATTTCCCAAAAAGAAACCTGGAAGTCATTAAGCACTCCCTACTCCCTGTCCCCATTCCCTTATACTAACCTGCTTAATCTGGACATTTTATGTGAATGGGTCACACAATATGTGGCTTTTGTGACCGTTGTGTTTTAAGGGAGCTCATTCATGTTGTAGCTTGTATAAATACTTCATTCCTTTTTATGGCCAAAAAATATTCCATTATGTGGCTCTACCACATTTTTGTTTTATTTTTTAATCCTCCCTGGAGAACATTTTTCCATTGATTTTTCAGAGAGAGTGGAAGAGAGAGGGAAAGACAGAAATATTGATGTGTGAGAAACATCAATTGGTTGCCTCCAGGACCGGGGCCGGGAAGGAGCCCGAAACCTATGTACGTGCCCTTGATCAGAATTGAACCTGGGACCCTTCAGTCCGCAGGCCGACGCTCTATCCACTGAGCCAGACCGGCTAGAGTGGCTGATTGATATTCGGTTGTTTCCACTTTTTGTCCATTATGAATACTGTGTACAAGATTTTGTTTGCATTTGTATTTTCAATTCTCTTGGGTATATACCTAAGAGTGGACTTGCTGGTCATACAGTAAATCTTTGTTTACCTTTTTGAAGAACCAACAAACTGTTTTTCCAATGATGATAATATTTCACCTCTCCACCAGCAATGGATGAGTGTTTCAATTTCTCTTCAGCGGTTCTCAACCTGTGTGTCGCCAACAATGAAAATACATCCTGCATATTAGATATTTACATTACGATTCATAACAGTAGCAAAATTACAGTTATGAAGTAGCAACGAAAATAATTTTATGGTTGGGGGTCACCCAACATGAGGAACTGTATTAAAGGGTCGCGGCGTTAGGAAGGTTGAAAACCATTGCCATTCTCACCAACATTTGTTATTTTTCCTTTTAAAAAATAGTGATCGTCGCCAAAACCGGTTTGGCTCAGTGGATAGAGCGTCGGCCTGCGGACTGAAAGGTCCCAGGTTCGATTCCGGTGAAGGGCATGTACCTTGGTTGCAGGCATATCCCCAGTAGGAGATGTGCAGGAGGCAGCTGATCGATGTTTCTCTCTCATCGATGTTTCTAACTCTCTATCTCTCTCCCTTCCTCTCTGTAAAAAATCAATAAAATATATTTAATAATAAAAAAAAATAGTGATCGTCCTCATGGGTGTGAGTGTATCTCTCTGTGGGTTTGCCTCGCATCTCCCTATGACTAATGATACTGAGCACCTTTTCCAGGGCTCACTGGCCCTTATAGTATTTTCTTCAGAGAAATGTTTATTCAAGTCCCATGCCCATTTTTAAATTGTGTTCTTTTTTCTCAAGTTTAAGAGTTTTTTTGGATATATTCTAGATACCACATCCTTATCAGATAGATGATTTGCAAAATATTTTGTCCTATTTTGCTTGTGGGTTGTCTTTTCATTTTCTTGAAAGTGTCTTTTGAAACACAAAAGATTTTACTTTTGATGATTGTTATTTGTGCTTTTGATGTCATATTTAAGAAATTGTATAATCCAAAGTGATAATTTTCCACAATGTTTCCTTCTAAGGTTTTCATAGTTTTAGCTCTTAGGTCCATTTTTATTTGTGTGTTTGGTTTTTTGGCCTGTGGTGTGAAATAGAGGTCCAAATTCATTATCTCGCATGTGGAGTTCACTTGTCTAAGCGCCATTTGCTGGAGAGACTGCTCTGCCCGGGGGATGGCTTGGCACCGTGTTTAAAGTCAGCTGACCACAGACACACGCGTGTACTTCGGGACTCTGTCACTCCGTCGGCCTCTGTGTGTCCTTAGGCTTCCACTGCATCATGCTGATGTCCGTGGCTTTGCAGTATTGAAGTCAGGAAGTGTGATTCCTGCAACTTTGTTCTTCTTTTCCAAGACGTTTCTGGCTCTTTGCGGTCCTGTGCCTGCCTTATCAGTGTGGGGCTCACTGTCAGAGCCTGCGAGTCTGAGGGGCTGTGGGACAGAGGGCGGGCTTCTCCTCTTCCCACGGGCTTTCCTAGCACAGGGGTCTGTGCCCGAGCCGTTTCTGAGTGGCTGAAGGGACGACCACATTTTGCCTGTTTTGTCTTACAGGTGAACAACTTTGTGATCTTTGAAGGCTTCTTTGCCCATCAGCATCGTAAGTGTTCTCACCTGTGTGTGCTGGCCAACTAGCTGGGGCGAGGGAAAGGAAAGAGGTGGATTCTTGGTCCCACTGGTCCCCTCACTGAGGGGCACCACCGCTTCCTTCCTCACAGGGCCCCCTGCTCCCCCTCTGAGGGCAACTGGACACGCGCGTGCTGCGGCCGACCCTGTGCCCCCTGGTAAAGCTGCGCTGCTAGGCAGCTGTGGTGCCGTGAGAGCTGTTCTGGGAGGCCACAGCAGCAGGGGTGGGGGGTGGAGGGGCTGGGAAAGGGGACATTCCTAAGCAGCCCAGCCCCCAGCAGCCTTACTCACTTGCCTTTCCCACATGGGAGCGCAGTGCGTTGGAACTGTCAAGACTTCACTAAGCAAGCTGTTGGGGGCCTGTTTGACAGTTAGTGCTGATGGAGCCTCTGTGGCTTCAGGTCCACAGAGTAGGCGAGTCGGGTTCCTTTGTAACCTTCGGCCTGTCCGTCGGTGAGGGGCAGGCAAGTGCAGTCGGCCCTTCCGTGTGCAGCCATAGAATACTGACACGAAAGGCACAAAGTGAAGTTGACCTGGAGAAACCGGACGGAGGAGGCACTGAAATGCTGCCCCTTTCCCCGAGCCATCCTCACGCTCCCTGCCAGCCAGCCCCTCCTCCTCACGGCCTCCCACAGGGAGGAGCAGCCAGGTGCTGGCCGCCATGCGCAGCGGGCCCCCTCCTGAGCCGGCTGTGACCAGCGCTGGCTCCTCCTTGGCCAGGAAAGGGAGTAACTGTCACTCAGAGAACAGGCTGGTCCGGTTGTCGGCGTCAGCCAGTGTCCGGCCCTGAGAGGGACTCGTGCCCATGCCTCGTGGTTGCCAGGGCTTCCCGTGCCCGCCCGGCTGGTGCCCAGGCTGCAAGGGGATGAGAGCCCGTGAGGTCCACAGTGGGGGCCATGGGGAAGGCTCTCCTGGCTCCTGAGGGAGACCCTCTGAGAGAGGAAGGGAGGGAGCAAGGGAAGAAGTGAGGGCGGAGGCAGAGTCTCACAGCATGTCATCCTCCCCTCTGCTCCGATGACTCCTTTCCAGATACGCTCTCTCCGTCCTCCTTTTCCTATAAGACTTCAATCTCTTCCCGTCTTGGCTCTGGAGGGGGAGGTTCTGCCCCCCTCTCCTGGCCTCTCCAGAGCCATCCCTGACTCACCGAGGCCTCTGTCCGGCTCGTCTACCAGTAGAGGGACCACCCCTCCGCCCAGAACCCAAGGGGCCTCCCTGGCTGCCTTCTCCTGCACCCCAGGCCCCAGCGGCTCCCTGGGTCTTCCCCCCACACTGCATTCGGCCCCTCCTCCTGGCTCTCATCAGCAGTGCTCCAGCACCCCGAGTTCCCTCTTCTGTGGGGGAGCAGACTCTTCCCCAGGAGCTGTGGTCAGGGAGCAGTGGTGGGTCGTGGCCGGGAGGAAGGCTACCAAGTGTGTGTCTTGGTGTTCCCCTGCCTGTCTTCTCACCGCCAGCTCCAGCAAGGAAGCTGCCCCCCAAGAGAGCAGAGGGAGACATTAAGCCGTACTCCTCGAGTGACCGAGAATGTAAGGCGGTCGGGTGCCCGGCGTGGGGGGGCGGGGTGCCCCATCTCAGGGGAAGGGTCCATTCTCTCTAAAGGCTCTGATTTCTCTTTTCTACCCTGATCTCTACTGTCATGACTCTCCTCTCTTCCCAGTTCTGAAGGTAGCTGTGGAGCCTCCTTGGCCCCTAAACAGAGCCCCTCGCCGAGCTACACCTCCAGCCCACCCCCCACGCTCCAGCAGCCTGGGAAACTCGCCCGAACGAGGTCCCCTCCGCCCCTTTGTGCCAGAGCAGGAGCTGCTGCGTTCCCTGCGCCTCTGCCCCCCTCACCCTGCTGCCCGCCTTCTGCTGGCCACCGACCCTGCAGCCAGCCCAGCCCAGCGCCGCCGCACCAGGTAATGGGCGTGGGAGGACCAGTGTGAGAAATGGAAAGGGTGGTTTGAGCCCAGGCGTGACATAGCAGGACAGCGGGCGGAGGGGACACTGGAGATGTGTGGGAGGTCTGGGAGTGCATGGCAGTGAGGGGGCAGATCAGGACTGTCCATGGCACTGGGGCCCCGTTTTACAGTGAGAGTGGGAGGAAGAACCCAGATCCGTGGGGGGGGGGGGAGCCTCTAAGTTGGGGGAAATGCTGGTGTGGTCCTTGCTGGGAAGGAGCAGTGGCGTCTGGCACAGGTGGGGGCCCTGGCCCCCGAGTGCCGGTGCGGCAGGAACCATCCCGCAGCCGGAGGGGCATCTCCTGTCTCCCCCAGCTCTCTCCACCTCTGACTTCGTTTTTCTCTCTTCCCCCTTTTCCCTCTCCCTACCTCCTGTCCATACCGTCCTCCCACAGCTCCCTTCCCCGTTCTGAGGAGAGTCGCTACTGACAGTTAACCCTCTCCCCCCGGGAGCCTCGTCCCCGAGAACCCACCCCTTCTCGTCCAGTGCGTCCCAGGACCCCGAGGAGCCTGACGGAGCCCATGAGACTCCCTCTTCTCCTTTGTGGGTTGTCAAGGCCCCGATGGCCCACTGCTTTGTAGCTTTCCTCGCCCTAGAAGCACCTCCTCTCCCAACGCGGTCACTGAGCACTCCCCACAGACAGCGGAGCCGCTGCCTCCCTGGCCGTGCAGCTCCTCCACATTGTCCAGAGCAGCACACCCTGGCTCGCTGTCGGACTCTAGACCACCATGGAGGCCCGACGGCCTTCGCTGCAGGGTCTTGTCCCTGGAACAAATCCGTAGCTCACTCTCCAGTCCAGTGATGGCCCTCGTGCTGCCACCTACACTGCCTTTCAGCCCGCTCATGCCAGCCAGCGAGGTTGCTTCGGAGCAGTCCAGGTGGCTAGGACAGGGACTGACAGCTCCTTAAAGGGACCCCCCAACATTGCTAGGCTCTTCATTACACGTGTGTATGTCAGGGACCCCTGAGCTGTTGTCTACTTTGGGGCTAGACTCGCACTTCTGAAGACAGCGCTACCCCCCAGGCGAGATTCTGTGAGGGACTTCGTTTCTTGGCAGCACCTGGGGTCAAAGAGGGGCCGCCTTTGCCAGGTTTCACAAGAGAAGCCTGAGTCTCAAGGGCCCGTTAGCTCCTGGACCCGTCCTCCCCCGCAGCTAGATGCCCGTCTATTCCTTGTTGTGTGATTGTCGTGATGATGGGAACTTCTCTCTGGCCTTCCTTTCTTCCCTGCTCCACACCCAGGAATAAAGCCTCCTCCCTCCTCCTTCCTCTGAGTGTGTGGTAGAGCAGGCACCCCCTGTGCTCCCCCAAATCCTTGGGAGCAGGGTCTCCCTTTCTCCCTACTCATTTCTCCGTTCTCTTCTCCCTCTCAGTGTTGTGTGAATAAAGTTTGAATTCCTTTGTGTTTTTTAAATGGACATTTTCAATGAAAAAAGCACACCCCAAAAAGCAACTTAAGGTCTTGGCCTCCTTTGTGTGTCACCTCTTATTTTCCTGGGGCCTGGGAGTCTGTCCCGCGTGTCATCCTTATTGCTGAGATCTGCATGTCTTCCAGCACGGAGGCTCCGAGCTCCCTGCAGGGTCTAGTGTCCACCCTCCCCATGGCATTGCTGGATCTTCTCCTCCCCATCTCTCTCCCCTCATGCAGCTGCTGGATCCCTCTGCGGAGGCTTCTGTGTGTACTTCCCCACTCCCCCCAGAGCCCTCGGGCTCTCCCTGTGACCCTACCCTTCGCCCCAGGCCAGCCCTTGCTGAGATGTCAAGGTTCACCATTATCCCTGGGACCCTCGAGTTGCATCCCCTAATGGTCCTGGGTTCCTCTTCCATTCTGGTTTCCTTCTCCCCCACCAAACCCTGGCACCTCTCCCAAGACAGTCCCTTACCTCTGCTGAGTGCCCAACACAGTCTGTCACCTCTCTTCAAAGGCTCCCTCCCTTTTCTTCCTAAATCACTTGACACTCCCTGTAAGTAAGGTAACTGTTTTCCAAACCAAACATCCGGGCACCAGGTCCAACAGATGGTTTACCTATGTGTAAGTCTGTTTTTGTGAGATGATTTGCATCACAAATATTAACACATTACTCCAACTAGAAACAGAAAAGCAATAAGTCAGGATTGCTCCAGAAAATCTTTGGGGTATAAAATGAGCTCCCTCCCCTTTTCTGGGGACCTGCTTAGGTTAAAACCCCTAGAAGTCTAATTGCCCCTCTCTGCACTCCTGTGCTATTCCTTTAGTCCCCTCCTCTGATTCCTCCACACCCACTCACCTTCCCCCCTGCAGCCTCTTCCCCATCGCCTGCCATTTCTCCTACAGGGGGGCTCCCCCAGGGCTGGTAGCCCAGAGCTGCTGCTACAGCCGCTATGGGGGGCTGAATTCCTCATCCGCCAGCACAGGTAAGTATTCTTCCCTCCTTGCCCTCAAATCAAGCAGGTCATGCTCACCGCCTGCTCCAGCCTTCCCATGCACATGCCTGGTATTTCCACAGGCAGCCAAGCATGGAAGCAGGGGGAACAGGAAACAGACAATAGGTGAGGCCTGATCCCCTCCCCTCCTGGCCTGCCCACACCTCTGTCTCTTTTCCTAACATCACTCTCAGCTCCTTCCTCTGAAATCTTATCCGTCCAACTGGACTCCCTCCCACCCCCCACCCCCCAAAAATCCTTCTACCTAACATCCTACAAGTCTGTTTCCCCATAAATTCAACTCTGGTACTTCCCTTGGGCACTTTCTGAGGTTTCCAGTTTGGACATAGCACCAGTGGTTCCATCATGGTCGTCCTCTACATAAGGGCCAGGAAGACCCTGACTCTCCATCTCCCTCCCACCCACCAGGGCCGCCAGCCAGGAGACCTTGTCACAGGATGGGAGTGGGGAGGCCCCCATGCACACAGTGCCTCCACAGGCCCAGGCCCCCGCCCCCCCAGCCCAGCACTGCACAGTGGCGGGGGACATGTTCAACGCCAGGTTCATTCGCAACTTGCAGGAACGGCGCAGCACCAGGCCGTGGTGACTGCAGCCCCGCCACACCTGCAGTCCTCGCACTGCGGGAGCAGCCACCGCCGCCTTCCCGTGCCTGTATTCATTCACTCGTTCATTCATTCAACAGGCCTTCTTAGCAGTGCCCAACCATTTCTATCCTCACCAAAGCAATAAAGTATTTTTATCACGAGAGCTACTGAGAAACCTGTCGTTATTTCAATCTCACCCTCTTCGCCCAGCATCTTGCGCAAGCGCCCGGGGTAGCGCGAAGCCGGCGGCCGCTGGCTTACTGCGCAGGCGCGCTAAGGCAGGCTCCGACCGCTGGCGCAGGCGCACTGACGGCAGACCGGCGCCTCGCCGCTTCGCCAGACCTGCCGCAGTGCGCAGGCGCGCATCGTCTCCGTTTCTCTCTCCGCCGCCCTGACCCCCTCCTTTCCCCTTCAAGGAGCCGGCGGCGGGGCGCGCTCACCCCGCGAGGAGGGGCAGCCGCACTCGGGAGGCGCGCTCCCAGCTCCCGGAAGACCATGTACCAACCCAGCAGGGGGGCGGCCAGGCGTCTGGGCCCGTGCCTCCGCGCCTACCAGGCTCGGCCCCAGGTGAGGAGGGGGCGTCCGGGAGGGAGGCGGGGCGGGGCGACCCTCCAGCCGTGCGAGGGCGGAGCGCGCCGTCTTGCGCAGGCGCAGTGACGCCCACCGCCCTCCCTGTGTCGGCTGTGCGTGGAGGGCGAGGGTCGTGGACGCGGGAGGGGCGCTGCCAGCCCTGATCGTTCCTCCGGGTCTTGGGGAGGGGGGGGCTCCCGTGTCTCCGCCACGGTCTGTGCATGGAGGTGATTTGAAGGGCGGGGGGCGGAGAGGTTCGCACGCACCCGCACCCGGCGCGGCGCCGCCCGGAGTTACCGGTCCCCACCAGACAGACCTTGCACACGGATAGCGGTCCCGGCAGGAAGGCGGCCTCGGGCCCGGTGGACCCGGCTCGGGCCCTGCACCCCGGTGGGCAGGATAGCCACGCCCCGGAGTGATGGAGTGACGCGGGGACTTGGTCAGCCAGACTTCGGGTGACCTCCTTCCTCCGCATCAGTTTCAAGGTCATTGAGCAGGAGTGGAGTCCAGCCTTTCCTGGTCTCCTGGGCTGTGTCATCAGTGGGGCCCGAGCGACAGCTTACCTTTGTGCACTACTTTACAAGTCGCAAGGCTCGACATTTACTGTGGTTTGGAGCCTCGCCATGACTCGTGGGCTTCCTCCCCGACTGTAAGAGGATTTACAGGGAATGCGAGTGCTGAAGGGTGCACGGTGGGCTGGGTGCTCATTGGCCCGTTCCATTGGACGCACATGGTTGTGGAGTCTGCAGGCCACGCCTTTCACCCACAGCGCAATAAAACGATTCCTTCCTCTTCTCTCTTCAAACATGGATGTGAGCCTTGCGCTAGGAGCCGTGGAACTGCCCCCAAAGTATTGGAATCTTAAATGTAAAGGCATTTGCTAACTGTTTGGGGGAGGTGCTTGTCATAGAAATATCTGTTTCCTCCTGGAGATGGAGGTGAATCCACCCCTTTACCTTGAGCAATTCCCCCTTCTGCCCGAGCAGCCGGTGGGAGTGGAAGTGTTCGTGAGAGTCTGGATGAAGGGCCATGGGCAGCTGGGTTATTGCTTTCCCTTTTGTTCTTCCTCCTTAGGACCAGCTTTCTCCACGGGCTCTGCCATTCCCACCCCTGTGGCCCCACTCCACGACGGGCACTTCTCCCTCTTCCCCCCTTTTCCGGTCTCCCGCACTCTCGTGCCCTCCTCCTGGGCTGCTTCCCCGAGCTCCCCCGTTACCTCTCCCTCAGGTCCCCGCCCTCAGCTCACCATGGGCGAGTCTCCCTCCAGGCAAGGGGGAGGAGGGACCAGGGCCTGAGTTGCATAGTGGCTGTCTGGATGGGCTTAGGAGCCTATTTGAGGGACCTTCCTGCCCCTGTGTTGGGGCTGTGCTATCTTTCCAAGCCCCTGTGACCGCCCGCCCTTCCCCTGCCACTCCGTCGGGAGACCCCAGCATGGAGGAGCACCTGGCTGTCATGTATGAGAGACTGCGACAAGAGGTGAGTCAATTCAGAAGGGACCTTCACCCACCTGGTGGGAATGCAGGTGACCTTGGAAATAGAGGGCTAGTCAACTGGATTCTTTCTTGGAACCACAAGGAAAGCATAGAAACGTTACAGACATTTCCCAAGTAGAAGATAATCCTCGGTTTGGATTAAGGGAAGTTATACATGGCATGGAAATGACCTTTCACTCAGAGGGAAGGAGGCACTAAAAATAGAAAACGGAGAAAGAGGATCATCGCTCCTTTCCCACTGGTGATGCCTTCTTCTTCCACCAGCTCCCCACTCTCTTCCTTCACTCCCATGACTATTCTCTCTACTCCTCGGATGTGGAGTTCATCAACGAGATCCTGCGCATACGTACCAAGTGAGTCCGCGCTGGGGAAGGTGCCAGGCTGCTGCTCTGCATCTGCTTCCCCTTTCTCACGCGGCTTGGTGTTCTGGTTCTGCGTGAGATTGCTTTCCCGTCCCTTCTTCTCAGGGGCCGGACGTGGTACATCCTGTCGCTGACCCTCTGCCGCTTCCTGGCCTGGAACTATTTTGCACAAGTTCAGTTGGAGGTTCTGCAGTTGACCCGCCACCCTGAGAACTGGACCCTGCAGGCCCGCTGGCGGCTGGTGGGGCTGCCCATCCACACGCTCTTTCTGCGTTTCTACAAGCGTGACAAGGAAGAGCTTTACCGGTAAGGGGCTGAGGATGGACCCCACGCCACCACCCTCTTCCCACACGTTCCGTTTCAGGACTGGTGGTCTGGTCTCCTGGATAGCCCTTCCTCTCCCTGCCTTCACCGAGGTTCCATCAGGGCAGGGGTCTTGGTTCAGTCTCCTTTACTGTAACAGAACTGGCACGGAGCACATGAGAGAACCTCTGAACTCAGCTTGTTCATGTGTATCACCTGGCACATAGGTAGGAATTCAAATACTTACTGAACAAATGAAAACTCCTGCCTCGTAAGTTGAGCCTCACACCCTTAGGTAAAGTACTTGGTAAATTTCTGGCAATTGTTAGGCTTGCCCCACACCAGCAGCTTGTAGACTGCTGCACAGTGGGATCATCTTGGTGCCAGACACTCTGCCTTAATTGTGACGGGGTGCAACCTGGGCATCAGGATTTTTCAAAGTCCCCAGGTGATGTAATACTAGTATGTAGCACAGTTAAGGGACTAGGAGTTTAAGCAAATGCTTGAATTAATCTTTGGGATCAGCCACCTTCCCCTTCAGCTTCTCTTCTTTCACCAGGACCTATGATGCCTATTCCACTTTCTACCTGAATTCCAGTGGCCTCATTTATCGCCATCGCCTAGACAAAGTGAGTCCCAGGGTGGATGGGGTGGGTGGAGGGGCAGCACCCCTGCTAATGCAGTAACTTCCTCCCGGCAGCTGATGCCCTCGCACTCACCCCCAGTGCCTGTGAAGAAGCTGCTTGTGGGAGCCCTGGTGATGCTGGGGCTGTCAGAGCCAGAACCCAACTTCCACCTGTGACCCAAGGCCTCCTCCAGGAACTGGGGTGGGGCAGCACTGAAAACTGCTACACACAAGAGGTGGGGTTGGCCAGTTTCTTCCCGCTCCTCCCCCTCCCTCCCTCCTTGCCATCTCATGCTGTGTAAAGCTGCTGTGTAATTTAACTTGTAAATAATAAAGTCTAAGTGAAAATATGAGATGGAATCTCCACATCACTTTCTCTAGCTTACAAAAGTCCTCACAAGCTTTATTCCAAAACTACTTTATTAATGGATATAAATAACGTGGAGAAGATGGGGCTGATGTCGTGTTGTTTACGTTTTCTTTCTTTACCCTAGCTCTTCACGTGTCTTGCCTGTTTTTTTGGGCATTTTCTTGGCATGGGGATCTTCTAGCTCCTTGGCTTTATAATAGTGAGGTGCCACCTCCAGAAGCCAGCTGCTCTCAATCTCCAATACCTAGAAGGGGGGAGAGAAACCAGCAGTGATCCCATCTTCCCTAGACTCTCATGTGTGAGCTCAAAAAGGTTCTCCTGCCCTAGCCAGCTTGGCTCAGTGGGTAGAGCGCGTCCGCCTGCGGACTGAAGGGTCCTGGGTTCGATTCTGATCAAGGGCACTTGCCTGGGTTGCAGGCTTGATCCCCAGTGGGGGGCATGCAGGAGGCAGCCGATCAGTGATTCTCCCTCATCAAGGTTTCTCTCTCTCCCTTCCTCTCTGAAATCAGTAAAAAATATATTTAAAAAAGGTTCTTTTCCCTGTGGCTGCAGGAAGGCGCAGAGCTCTGCACTGCCTGCCTGAGGTGGGCACACCTGCCTGAGGTGTTACTCAGGCTCCCGAGTGGGCTCTCCCGAAGGCCTGCATGGGAACCGTAAAGTACACGGGCCGAGGCCACACCTGCTTTGCTCACCACCATTCCCAGCACCGGCATCCGGGACAACAGCCTTTCAAATGCTCATGGTGCGATGGTCAGATCTCCGAGCCCTGAGTCAGCTGTCAGAAAGGGCACCTTTCTAGCTTAAACCAATTGGTTTCCTGTTCCTCTGCCAGGCCCAGCGACTCGAACCTGGGTTTCGCTGGCCAGAGTACAACCTCCACCTGCCAGGGCAGGGGGTGGAACCCTCACCTGTCGCATGAACTCCTTGGTGGTCAAAACCAGTTCATGGTAGAGCAGCCAGCGGGGCTGTTCCTCAAAGAGGGAGGAGTTGGGGTGAATGAACACTGTCTGCTGCTGTTTCACTGTGCGGTAGCCGCTGCGAGTCAGCCGTGCTGTGTGGTAAAAGTAACCGGCAGTGACGGCCTAAGGAGCAGCCAGGAGAGACCCTCAATGGGAAGGCCAGGCCCCAGGGGCCCTCAGCCCTCGCCACCTTTTCAGTGTTAGTTCAGGCTTCTGGAGAACTAGGAAGGGAAGGGTGCGTGAAGAGCCCCCGGGAGGAAATGGACCTTCCCCAGCTCAGGCGGGAGGGCTGCCCAGGCCTGGGGAAGCTGGCCCCTCGGAGCCCGGGGGCCGCGGGAGGAACGCTGACCTTGCGGACACGGATATAGTCCCCCTGGCAGGAACTGAGGCCAACTTCCACCCGCTCCAAGAGCCCCTCCAGCTGCTCTCGCACATCCCGGGCTCGGCGCATCGATCTGAACTGGACAAAGTTCTCATAGCACCACTGGGAAGAGTAACCACTCTCAGCCCACTGTGGGAGGGTTAAGAAGGGGTGAGTGTATCTAGGACCAGAGTCTCCCATGTCCCCCTCCTTCCCACTCTCCTGAGCCCAGCGACCTGCGTGTACACGTTTAGCAGAACCAGGTGGTCCCCCCCAGGGAGGAAGAAGTTGACGCGGGCGTTGTCCGCATGCACGACTTTGTCCTTGGGCCGGTAGAAGATGGAGTTGTTGACGGACAGCATGGCAGCCACTGTCAGGATCTCCTCTGAGCAGCTGTACCTGGGCAGGAAGGGAAAAAGCTTGAGAGCTCAAAGCCAGACGGAGGGACAGACACGGGGGAGTGACCGTTGTGTGGGCTGTGTCCTCACACGGGGGCTGCCCGCAGCACAGGGCAAGCACTACGAGTAGCTAGATCTGGGGGCAGTGCCAGCAGCTCGGGGCTGTGATGGCATCTGCTGAGGAAGGACGGGCAGCTGAGGAGGCAGAGGCAAGGTGTGCGCTATGCATCGGGGAAAGACCGCTTCCTTTAGGCTCATGTGATGACCTCTGACCCAACCACGGCATTTAAAGGTGGTCCCTCCACAGCCACATCTAAATGCTCCAGTCTGAGCCTTAGGATGAGCAAGTCCCCAGACCAGCACTCACTCAGCACTCCTCACAGATGGAAAGTCTTCCCCTTCCCTTCATGCCCCCAAACTTCCTATGTGTGTGTCAATCTTACCCATTTCACATAATGACCAAGCACAGCAGTGTCTTACTGGCCCTTGTGGGCCTCACAGAGGGCAGGAAGAGTTCTCTGATAACTTGTTATTTGTTACAGAAGAATATGGTAGAGAGAAAAGGAGCAAAATAACAAAGATGGCCGGTGTGGCCAGTTTGTGGGTGGGGGCCCGGCCGGATGGGGGCACTCACTTCTCAGAAGCCAGGATCATTTTAGATAGCATGGGGTCCACTGGCAGCTCTGCCATCTTCCTACCAGACTAAGGAGAGGAAAGAGAGAGGGTTGAGCCGGTCCTCCCTCAGGTGTCCCTGTCCTCCTGCCCAGCCCACGGCCTCCACTCACCGTGGTGAGCTCCCCAAGGTGGTTGAGGGCTCCCAGAGCATACAGCTGCTCCAACGCCAGCAGCAGGGTCTCATATGGGGGAGGGTCCAGGAAGTCAAAGTGCATGAGGTCATGGATCCCTGCAGAGAAGTGAGGGCAGAATAGAGTCCCTTTACTAGGACCAGTGACTCCAGCCAGCCTCTTGGGAGGCCCGGGGACCCCAATCACCTAGGCCCGTGGTCGGCAAACCGTGGCTCTTTGGCCCCTAGTGTGGCTCTTCCACAAAATACCACGTGCGGGCGCGCACATACAGTGCGATTGAAACTTTGTGGCCCATGCGCAGAAGTCGGTATTTTGTGGAAGAGCCACACCAGGGGCCAAAGAGCCGCATGTGGCTTGCGAGCCACGGTTTGCTGAGCCGCAGTTTGCCGACCACTGACCTAGGCTCTTGAGCAACAACACCACGTTGCCCAGGCTGGTCCTCTGGATCTCGGGCACCGTGGTTTCCTCCAGCTCGTGCTGATAGGCCCAGGCGGTGTACAGGCGGAAGCACTTCCCAGCCGCCACCCGGCCAGCCCGGCCCGCTCGCTGATTGGCTGAGGCCTGGAAAGAAGGAAAGACAGGCCGGCTGACAACTGGGTGAGGGAAAGAGAAAGGGCAGTGTTTAGGCAAGGAATCTAGGAGGCTGTGGTTCCGTCCTCTAAGCCCCCCGGCTTCTGAGTAGGGCCTGCCTGTGGGTCCATTCTGCCTCCCGCTCCACGATGGAGACCCCCTGGAGCCCGGGCTGACCTTGCTGCAGGGTGTGACCGTGAGTGACTCCATGCCCGTGCGAGGGTTGTAGCTCTTCTGCTTACAGAACCCTGGATCCAGCACGTAAATGATGCCCTCGATGGTGAGTGAAGTCTCGGCGATGTTGGTTGCCACAACCACCTGAGTGAGAGGCTGTGGGTCACTCAGAGACCCCCACCTCCCAGCTATGTAGGAAGAGGAATCCGGGGAGATTTGGAGTAGACAGCAGGGGCAGATAAGGGCAGGAGCTGAGGGAATTCGTGTCCAGTCCCAGGGGGACAGGCTGGGAGGCCAGTGAGGGGCAGCGGGGCTCAGCAAGGGCATGACGTGGAAAGGAAGTGGAGAAGAGGCTGAGGTTTCAGAGCTGGGAGATGGGGCCGCCCGGTCCGCGGCATCCGGAAGGGTCCTTTTAAAATGCACCTCCCATCACTCTCCTGGCCACCACTGCCCATCCTGCTGGAGTTACAGCCACGCCCACTCGGCGCGAGCCCTCAAGACCTTGTCTCCTCTCAGGGTCCCAGCCTGGCTCCCTCCTCATCCAGTTCAAGCCTCTGCCTCACTTTCACTTGACTGGAGAGGGGAGGCCTTCCCTACACGCTCAGGAAAGTTCCCGCCGAGCCTCACGCCCCTGCTGCGCCGTGTCTCCTCCTGGCACTGGCTCCTAACTTACCCCACTGGGAGCTCTCGAGGCCAGGACTGTCTCACCATATCCCACCCCCAGAACAGAACCTGCGAGAACCCGTTCGATATTTGATGAAAGTTACACTTTGTTCAAAATCCTGTGACTGCCATTCAGTCTAAAGTCCAAACTCGTGCACCTGCCACCCGAGGCCCTCCCTAACCTAGTCCAGATGTGGTTTTGCCCTGTCTCCCACTGCTTCTCACGAACCTTCCACTGAACCTTGCATTCTGACCTCAATCATACCTTAAGCCTTCCTCTGACATCCCTGCATTTTACAGGTGCAGACAAATTCCCACTCCTGCCTGCGTCCGTGTCCTCTCTCCAGAGCCGGCACTGGAGCGCCCCAGCACCACAGGGTGGAGCGCAGGTTTCTGCAGCTCTCTCACCTTGCGTGCCCCGGGGGGCGTGGGCTGGAAGATGCGGGCCTGCATGTCGGAGGGCAGGTTGGCGTAGATGGGCAGCACCAGCAGCTCCCGGATCTTGGAGCCCAGGCGACGGCAGCGGTCCTGGAGCATCTCGCAGGCAGCCTCGATCTCCTCCTGGATTTGGGGGGAGAGCAGCAGGGACCGATCACAGAGGCCGCCCTGGACCTGCCGGCCCCGTCTTCTCTGGGACCCCCTTACCTGTCCCGTCAGGAACACCAGGACGTCCCCGGGGGGCTGCGTCACATGGATCTGCAGCACAGACACGACACAGGCTTCCAGGTAGTCGGCCTCCGGAGCCTGGCGAGGAGAGGGCACAGGTAGGCACTTGCTCAGACAGCCTCGTCCTCCCCGCTCCACACGCTCGGTCCCGTCCCCTGTGGACTCTCCATCCACCCTGCCCCCCCCCTCCCTCATGCCTCACACTTCAGCCCATCCTCTGGGAGCACCTTGGTATAGAAGATGTCAACTGGAAACCGGCGTCCAGGGATCCGGAAGACGGGGGCGTCATCAAAGAAGGTGGAAAAGCGGGCAGTGTCCAGTGTGGCCGAAGCCACCAGGACCTTGAGCTCGGGTCGGAAGCGAGCCACATCTTTGATCAGTCCAAAGAGAATGTCCGTGTGCAAGGTCCGCTCGTGAGCCTCATCCACCATCACCACGCTGGGGGAACAGGGAGCAGTGAGCGAGAAGAGCAGGCCATGCAGGCGTGGACGCGGGGTCCCCCGGATGAAGGGCAGCTAAAGACAGGGTCCAAGGGTGAATGTGGGACGAGGGGCTCCGGGAAAGCGAATCGCCGTGAAGTAAGACCAGCAGAGAGTGGGGGAGACCAGGCTCGATGGCCCGCAGCCTCTCAGTGGGCAAACAGCAGCTTCCAAGACCTGGGGGTGGAGGGCGGAGCCAAGACGAGCCAGACCTCCCTGTGGTTCCGAGTCAAAAGTCTGCTGCAGTCACAGAAGCGGGAAGTGAGGGCAAGGCCTCTTCCCGTCAGGCTGGCTGGGCAGGCTGCGGACTGTGCCATCACGATCCCCAAAGCCAGCAGCTCCCAGACTCCTGGGACTGGCGAGCCTTCCAGCCCGACCTAGCGGCTCTGCAGACTTCTAGGCCTCCTCCTGAACCAGCTATTCTGTGCACTTCCTTTCTCCTTGTTCTAGTCTTTGGGTTTCTGGTGGCAACCAAGCCTGTAGGAGCTCATGCCCCACCTCAACTCTTTGCATGAACCCTGGCCGGATGGGGAAGCCCCGGCCATTTCCCGCTGGGGTTGCTGGGAAAGTCCTGCACCCCAAACGCTCTGGCACTGGCTGGCCTTCCGTGGGCTCTGAGAGCGTTCTGGAAGGGGTGTAAAATGTCAAGTCTTATTTGTCCTATGGCTGCACTCTGACCTTCTAGGACCAGAACTTCACACCCTCTTGCTCAGCTGGCCTGACCCCACCCGCATCCCACGCATGGGCCTTTTGCCCTCAGCACGTTACTACCCGCCCCTGTGGGTCAGCGCAGCACTGAGACCCACTCATTAGCAACCTGCGGTCTCGCCTCCACGGCGCCTTGGTCCTGGGCTGAATCTCCTCTCCTGTGACACCCCATGGCTCCTAGATGTGCTCTCTGGGGTCCCAAAAGAAAGTGTGGCCCTAGCCGGTTTGGCTCAGTGGATAGAGCATCGGCCTGTGGACCGAAGGGTCCCAGGTTCGATTCCAGTCAAGGGCACGCACATGCCTGGGTTGTGGGCTCGGTCCAACGTGCAGGAGGCAGCCAATCAATGATTCCCTCTTATCACTGATATTTCTCTCCCTCTCTTCCTCTCCCTTCCTCTCTGGAATCAATAAAAATATACTAAAAAAAAAAAAAAAGGCCAAGTCTGGCCCCTCTCCCATGTGGCAGCGGGACCAGGCTCTGTCCTTGAGTGTCTCCCCTGGAAGCTGAAACCCTAAGTTCCTTCGAGTGGTCTTCAGCCTTTCAACTCCCCCGCACTCCACCCTCCATCCTGTTTCTAACCTCTGGGAACAGCTGCAGCCGGAGGGAGAGGCTTTCTCTGCAGTTCCTCTAACCTCCAGCCCAGAACTATGGAACCCGGAGATCAGCTCTGGCCTCCGGGGTCACAAAGGCTCAAGGACTGGCCATGGCCAGAGGGACGGGTGAGAAGAAAGGAGAGAAAGGCCAAAGCTAAGGACGCCCAGGAAGGCGCTGAGGGGAGGAGGGCGCAGAGCGGGGAGGCACTGGCTCTCCTGTGGGAGACGGGCCGGGCCTACCTGTAGCTCGCCAAGTCGGGCTCCGAGAGGAACTCGCGGAGCAGCATGCCGTCAGTCATGTAGCGCAGGACTGTCCGCTCCGACGTGCAGTCCTCAAAGCGGATGCTGTAGCCCACCTGCCGAGGCCGTCAGCGTGCAAAGTGGGCTGGCGCTCTCTGAAGGGAGTGCCGGGCCAGGCGACGAGGCCGGCGCCCAGACATGCGGTGCGGGGCCCTCAGGGCAGTGTGGGTTGAATCCCAGACTCCTGGGCTCCCCTCACCCATCAGTCCCTCCAGAGCTCACCTCATTCCCCAGCTTCACGCCCATCTCCCGAGCGACTCGGGCGGCCACACTCATGGCGGCCACTCTCCTGGGCTGGGTGCAGGCGATCTTCAGACCCTTCTTTGTATAACCCTGAATGACAGAGAAGGGTGAGCTCCTCCCTGGCCAGTCACTCAACTTGGTGGGAGTACTGCTCTGACACACCCAGGCTGTGGGTTTGATCCCCGGTCAGGGCACATACAAGAATCAACCAATGATACAGAAATAAATGGAACAACAAATCAGCGTTTCTCTCTCTCTCAAAGCAATAAACAAAAAAGGAAAAAGAAAAGGTCCTCTCTTTGTTAAATATAGAACTGGCACCTAAGACAATTCAGAGAAAACAGTTGTAAATGCAGGGTAAAGGCGGGCTGGGTGGGGGTGCGGGGCGGAGGGAGCAGACAGACAGAAGCTGAAGCCCAGACAGGGAGGGCAAATGGATGGAACGGCAGACTAGCCGCCCAGGGTTCTCAGCCAGCCCTGGCGTCCCAGCCCTCTGCGGGTGAAGTTCTGGGTTCAGTGGACTGGGTGTCGACCCACGCACCCAGAGGTCACCAGTTCGATTCCCAGTCAGGGCATGTCGGGCTTGATCCCCAGTAGGAAGTGTGCAGGAGGCAACTGATCAATGTTCCCATCTCTCTCTCCCTCCCCTTCCCTCTCCCCCCAAAAAATCATTAAAAAACATTAAAGAAATAGTTCTGAGCTCAGTGAGATTTGAGCTGGGAAAGGACAGAGCAGGTGGGGCAGACTCAGAAGGACGGGGGCAAGTGCTGAGGAGCAGGATGCAGGCTCTCCACTCCCTGGAGGAGCAGAGGCCTCGCTGGACTGGAGCGAGGGCCCCTCTCACCCCCTCCCCCACCCCTACACTGCCTTCCAATGGGGACGGAGAACACTCCCAGCCAGGCACTGTGGCGGGAAGTGAGAACAGAGACAGACGGGCATGTGCTCCAGACCCTCCCCATTGCGTGGGAAAGGGAATGGCTAGCGTGGGGAGGTGAGCAGCTCCTGAGGTCAGGTAAAGGGCTCCGACAGGAGCCTGCTCAGCGAGGGGCGGGCTGGCCCTGGCGTGGGGATGCCGCACCTCCTCAAAGAGATACTGCGGGATCTGGGTGGTCTTCCCCGAGCCTGTCTCGCCCTCGATGATGAGGACCTGGTGACTCGCAATGGCAGCCAGGAGCTCCTCGCGGAAAGGGAACACGGGGAGGCTGCGGCGCACGGCCTGGATGCACTCCTGCTGCTGGGCCTGGGTGGGAGAGGGCGGAGCTGCCGGCTCCTGGGAAGGAGAGAGGGGCGTGAGCGTCAGGGCCCGCTCCCTATCCTCCTCACGAGGTCCCCGTCCTCCTCACGAGGTGCGGGGCTCTCCCTTACCTCATCGCCCTGCAGCTGAGTGGCCCGGACAAACTCGATGGTCTCCTCTTCCTCCAGTACCAGCTGGTACTTGGGCTCCTGGGAGGCAGCATCTCGGGCCCCAAATTTCAGGGCGGCGGCCCCCAGCCGGGCCTCCTCCCAGCGCCGCTGCTCCTCCCCGGGGGCACCGGACTCCTCCTCCACCAGATCCACAGCTCGCGCTGGCTGCAGGGCGGGCACAGAGGGCAATGAGCAGGGCGGGCACAGAGGGCAGTGGGCAGGCGGGCACAGAGGGCAGTGAGCCGGCGGGCACAGAGGGCAGTGAGCAGGGCGGGCACAGAGGGCAGTGAGCAGGCGGGCACAGAGGGCAGTGAGCAGGGCGGGCACAGAGGGCAGTGAGCAGGGCGGGCACAGAGGGCAGTGAGCAGGGCGGGCACAGAGGGCAGTGAGCAGGGCGGGCACAGAGGGCAGTGAGCAGGGCAGGCACAGAGGGCAGTGAGCCGGTGGGCACAGAGGGCAGTGAGCAGGGCGGGCACAGAGGGCAGTGAGCCGGCGGGCACAGAGGGCAGTGAGCCGGCGGGCACAGAGGGCAGTGAGCAAGCGGGCACAGAGGGCAGTGAGCAGGGCGGGCACAGAGGGCAGTGAGTCGGTGGGCACAGAGGGCAGTGAGCCGGCGAGCACAGAGGGCAGTGAGCAGGCCTGTTCTCTGCCAAGCTCCCTCCTCCCAGTCCCGACCGGGCCTACTGGGAAAGGGAGACAAGGATGGGGCTAGCCCCCACCGACACCAAGGCAGGACCCTGCGGCTGCGCCTTCACCTCACCTGTCCTCGGGTCTCCTCGGGCATGTGGTAGCGATTGGTGGCCTCCAGCTTCTCCTGCTCACCGGCTGCCCGGTACTCCCGGGCCAGATCCCGCACTCGCCGCTTGTATTTGAGCTCTCGCCGCTCATGCTGGCTCAGCTCCACGTCCCCAAAAAGGAACTCCTCATCCGCCAGCTCGGCCTCCAGGTCCTCCAGCTTCTCTCGCTCTCGCTTGGCCAGGTACTCTCGGCGCGACTTCTTCCGCAGCTCAGGGACCTGGGCCAGCACAGGGCAGTTGAGGCCTCATCCTGTGGAATGGTAACCCTGCCCCCTTCCTACCATCACGACAGGGCGAGACAAGAACCTCAAGATGAGCCCCCCTTTCCTCTGTGAGCACCTGTGAGCGGCAAGCACAGGCTTGGAGGCAGCAGGAGACCCACAGACCCGCTGCCGCTGGAAGGCCCCAAAGCAGCCTCGCCATCGCCAATACAAAGGCATCAGGGCGATTATCGGAATGTCTGCGAGGCTGCTCCCCTAGTTCCTATTTGAGGGAGTGAAGAGGGGAGCCAAGGGCGGACACCAGCACTGGGGAGCAGTCTCCGCCTGCAAACGGAGACAGCGGACACCCTGCAGGCGCCATGCAGCGACCTGACCGCCCAGACGCTTGCAGCCAGGGGCCCTGTCTGCACGCATGGCCGCTCTGGGGGAGGAGCCACCGCACACGGCAGGCCCGGGACCGCAGGAGGGTCCCTCTGGGAACAGCTCCCGCACACCGCGTGTCACTTGCTTCTTCTACATGTTTCCTTAGATACACGCTTTTCAGGACACACTGAAGGTGACAAAAGACTGGCCACCTCCGTAAGCCTTCCTGGCTCTCACCACCACTCTCCCCGTGACCCAGGCGGCCACCCCTGGGGGCTCTGATTCGATTTAATTGCTTGGCTTTTCTTGTTTGTTCTGTGAAGACTTCAAAGGGAGTTTATGCTCATGACCTAATCTGAGTACCACAATCAAACACTCCTTCATCCTGAAGGAGGCAGATGGCTGAGTGTGGACCTGTGAACCAGGAGGTCACAGTTCGATCCCCAGTATGGGGCGTGCGGGAGGCAGCCGATCAATGATTCTCTCTCATCACTGACGTTTCTCTCTCTCTCTCTCCCTCCCTCTCTGAAATCAATATATATATATATATATATGTATATATAAAAGAAATTCATGCCCCAACCGGTTTGGCTCAGTGGATAGAGCGTCCGCCTGCGGACTGAAGGGTCCCAGGTTCGATTCCGGTCAAGGGCATGTACCTGGGTTTCGGGCACATCCCCAGTAGGAGGTGTGCAGGAGGCAGCTGATCGATGTTTCTCTCTCATCAATGTTTCCAACTCTCTATCCCTTTCCCTTCTGCTCTGTAAAAAAATAAATAAAATATATTTTTTAAAAAAAGAAAAAAGAAATTCATGAGTACAGTGTAACGCCACACATACACACCAAGGATAGGGAACCTGTCACCAGAGAGGTGGGGGTCACGCCTGACTTCCTACTTTGAACATTAGCAGTTAAGGAAACAGGCATTCGCCCTGCCAGCTAAGAAGGAATTGTAGCTCACTTCTAGTTGTTGCGAAAAAGCTCTGCTTTATATAAAGAGCACCCCAACATCAGCATTGCAACCCCCATGAAATAACTGATTCTGGAAAGGCTCAACTGGGCTGGCCCGTTAGAGGCACGGCTCCTGGGGAAAGGGTGGCACCGTGCGGGGCGAGCTGGCAGGGCAGGTGCCGCTGCCACCGCTCTCCTCCACGTCTGGACAAGCTTTGCACCCAACTTCCACATTAAAGAAGGCGCAGGGCATGGAAGAGCTTAACTCACAAGAGAAGGAGACAAACGCAGAACACAGGACATGCCACGAGGGGAGAGAGTGAGTGAACAAACCCCAGAGACTAACAACCAAATGCAAGGCAGGCCCTGCACGGGATTCCGATTTGGACACAGAGGTTATTAACCCCATTTCCGCGCTGTGGGGCAGCTCAGCTGGTGAGAGCGCCATCCTGACACACCAGGTGTGGGTTCGATCCCGACAAGGCACACACAAGAAGCAACCAGTGATGCATAAATGACTGGAACAACAGGTCAGTGTCTCTCTCTAAAATCAATACATACAAGTAAAAAAGTGTTAGAAAGACATTTTGGGGTAAGCAGGGGAATTTGATTGCAGGTTCTTGGCTGACACATGAGAAGCGCTGTTCATCTCCTCGGAGGTGACAATGGCACCCACTTCAGGGAGAACGCCTATATTCCTAAGAGGCACATGACGATGGGATAAAGTGCTACGATGTCTTAAACGCTTTTATTTTATTTTTAAAATATATATTTACTGATTTTTTGAGAGAGAGAGAGGGATAAAGAAATAGAAACATTGAGGAGAGAGAAACATCATCAATCGGCTGCCTCCTGCACGCCCCCCACAGGGGATCGAGCCCGCAACCCAATCATGGGCCCTCAGTGGGAATCAAACCGGTGGCCTCTTGGTTCCTGGCTTGACGCTCAACCTTTGAGAGGCACTGGCCAGTTAAATGCTTTTAAATGATTCAAAAAGAAAACAAGGCCACGTTTACACAGGCATTGCAATTTCTGAACCCAAATAGTCTGTATGAGTGTCCATTATACTATTCATTCAACTTTCCTATTTGTTTGAAAGTTTTCACAATTGAAAAAGACTAAACAAATTCAGGCAAATAAAAACACTGCACTATTGACACATCTGAGAGTCCCTGGCCACAGTCCTCTGTGGTGAGACCTGAGATGGATGGGCCAGGAGGGGCCTGAGGCCACCAGGCCGCTCTCAGACACCCCGAGTCTCTCCCGGGAAACCTAAGTGTGCCAGGCCTTAGAAAAGCCGCCTACCCTCCCTAGGCTCCCGTCGGAGCAAGTCCCGCTCATCCCTCCCTCACAGCACCCTGTCCCGTGCAGCGAGCAGGCCATCCAGGAACCCAGAGGGAGGCCACCGGCCACCGGGGATGGAGGCTTAGGGAGGAAAGCGTTGGACACGGTGTGCCGAGCTGAATGGGGGCCCCTACCGGCCAACTGCCTTCTGACGACACGTCCAGCCGCACGGCTCCCTCACTCACACAGTACAATCTGATCCAAGAGTCAGGCGGGTTTTTGGGTAGCTTCCTCCCGCTACAACTAAACCCCCCTCAGCGGCTCCTGTCAGGCAGGCCCCTCCTCCAGAGGCACCATCAGCAGCCCCGCTGCACCGCCGCTCTGCTCCTCCGACCGCTAACCACGCCGCCAAGGTCTCTCCTCGGCCCCTGGCCCTGGCTCCCGGGCACTGGACTCACCATGGCCTTCCGGTCTTCCTCCGCCATCTTGAGGCGCTTCTGTGCCTCTTCATAAGCCTGGAGCAGAAGCCAAGCGCGCGGGTGTGAGGCTGCAGTCCCACAGCCACAGCCGCCCTCCTCCAGAATCACAAGGACACGTCAGACGCGCCCGGGCCCAGGGAAACGTCCTGCTCACGGAGGAATCGACGCCAGGGCGTCAGCAGAGGGTGGCCTTAGCCAGAGGAGCAGGAGGCCCCTCTCCAGAGGTCTACTCCCCACTACAGGCACCCTCTTGTCTTCCCGGAGACCCCCGTCTGCATCACGCCCCCTCAGGTCTGACCCAGGGGTCCTGGGGGGTGGCGGAGGGTGCCGTTCCCGGTTCCCGCACCTTCTTGTCCGACCGCTCCAGGACATTGCGAGTCCGATCCTTGTCCCGCCGCCGAACCCGCTCCGCGAAGGCGTCGCGCTCCTCCAGGTCCTGGAGGCGCTCTCGCTCCGTCCGCTCCCACTCATCCTCCGACTCCGGCTTTTCCGTCTGCTGTCGGCTCCCCCTGCAGCCCAGCCCCGAGCATTACGTCAAGGCGCCCAGAAGGCTCCTGTCCTAGCAGCCACTGCCCATCCTCGCTCACCCTACTTCCCACTCACCCTGTCTTCTTCCCCCTCGCAGAATCCTCTTCTTCTTCCTCTTCCTCCTCCTCCTGGCGTTTCTTCCTCAGGTGTTTCCGCCTTTTACGCTTCTTCTGGAGACGGCTCCCAGCCCTCCCCACACTCTCCTCACTGCTCCCCTCGCTGTCTTCCAGCAACGTATACGACCGGTTCTTCTCCAGCAGGGCTCGGGCCTCGCGCTCGGCTGCCCGGGCTGGCTTCTCCACCACCGCCTCCCGAGGCACCTGTCGGCAGGAGAGAGAAGGGAGTGAGCGACTCCTGGTCGGCGCCCGCCCTGCCCTGGTCCTGCTGTGAGGAGCGGCCTGATCTCAAACGAGTCTTCCTTCACCCCACGTCCACCAGCCTCTCAGCTGCTCACCTTCATGCGCTCAGTCACGTGTTTAACAAGCACTTACTGAAGCTGTTCCAGGCACCTGCCAGGCACCAGGGAGAGAGGAATAAACGAAAGAGAAAACACCTCTGCCCTCGTGGAGTTTACATTCTCAAACCCAGTTCTCAACTGCTCAGCCTGTGTCCTCCCCAAGGTCCAGGTGAGTCCCGCCCAAGGACTGCCCGAACACAAGGACTGCTCTGCAGAGCCTGTGACAGGCTGGCACTGGACCAGCTCCAGGGGCGCACTGGTGAACAGACTGACCTGAAGTTCTCCCTCCTGTCACTTTCGCTCCAACCTCACCTCTCGCCAAGCACCACGGGACAGCCACAGGCTCCGGACACGCTGACCCTTGCACTCCCACTGTGCGCTTTCTGAGCCCCTGTTCTGTGAGGTGCTCTACTAGGTGGTAGGAGTGCCTTTTATTTTACTTACTGTTTTTGTTAATCCTCACCCAAGGGAGAGGGGGAGAGGAAAAACATTGATGTGAGAGAGAAATATCGATGGTTGCCTCCTGCATGGGGCTCCAACCAGGCCGGGGATGGAACCTGCAACCCAGGTCCATGCCCTTGACTGGGAATTGAACCCGAGACCCTCTGGTGCATAGGCCGAACCTCTTATCTACTGAGCCACCAGCCAGGGCTTTATTTCACTTATTATTTATTGATTAGAGAGAGAGAAACACCGATTTGTTGTTCCACTTAATTTATGCATCATTGGTTGGTTCTTGTACGTGCCCTGACGGGACCAAACCTGCAACCTTGGTGTATGGGGACGATGCTCCAACCAACCGGCCAGGGCTAGAAGCTCGCCTTTTATACCTTCACTCCTCCCTCTTCGCTACCTGACAACTGCAGGGACTCCGGACCCGCTTCGCCTGGTCACTACCCTCACCTCTCTTCCACTGCCTCCGGAAAACTCGTTAGATTTGTTAGAAATGCAGGAACGAAGACCCCCACCCAGGCCTCCGGGTCGGAATCTGCACTTTAACTGCGGCCTGGATGGATGGGTGCATGTTCACGTTCGAGAAGCTGCCATGTAAGACTTAACCCGACACAGTGACCCTCCTGATCTTCACGGGGCTGGACGTGCAGCACCAGGGCAGCGCCCGGGCGGCCGCGGGCAGGACCAGCGCCTGCGCACGGAGCTTACAGATTCGCGGGAGGATGGTAGCCGGCCACACCCGCACGAGCGGCCAGGCCCGCCCCTCGGCCCCGCCGCCCCGCCGCCCCGCCCCGCCCCGCCCCGCCGCGGCCGACACCTTGCTCCAGAGCCGCAGGGCGAAGTCCCGCGCAGGCCCGCCGAGGTCCAGGGTGTCGGTGTCGCGCAGGCGCTGCACGAACTCCTCGGCCGAGCCGCAGCGCCGCGCCGTGCCGATCAGGAACTGCGCCACGTGCCGCTCGCTCAGCCCCAGCACCGCGTGCAGCTCGTCCTGCACCCAGCGCTCCAGCGCCGCCGGCGTCGCCATGGCGACCCGCTCCCCGAGCCGCGCGGGCGCCCGGCGGGGCGGAGGCCTGGAGTCTGGACGGGCCCAGCGGCCGCGCGGCACCGAGCGGGTCGAAGGCCTGGAGCCCGGAGGGGCCCAGCCGCCGCGCAGGAACCGCCGGGGCCCCGAGGTTCGGTTTCCAACAGCCCAAAGCCGCCTTCTTGGCCCGCGGAGCTTCCGGCGGCGCTTTTCCGGTCTGAGCACGACGGTGGCCGATAGAGTCCAAGTCTCGCGGAACCGTACATTTTCTTTTCCGCCCCGCAGAATCTGTCGCCCCCAGGTGGTCAGCCCGCGGATGCTTCACTCACCCATTCATTCAACCAACCCGGGCGCCTAAGGGGTGGGCAAACTTTTTGACTGGAGGGCCACAATGGGTTCTTAAACTGGACCGGAGGGCCGGAACAAAAGCATGGATGGAGTGTTTGTGTGAACTAATAGAAATTCAAAGTAAGCGCCGAAACCGGTTTGGCTCAGTGGATAGAGCGTCGGCCTGCGGACTGAAGGGTCCCAGGTTCGATTCCGGTCAAGGGCATGTACCTGGGTTGCGGGCATATCCCCAGTAGGAGATGTGCAGGAGGCAGCTGATCGATGTTTCTCTCTCATCGATGTTTCTGACTCTCTATCTCTCTCCCTTCCTCTCTGTAAAAAATCAATAAAAATATATTTAAAAAAAATAATAATAAATTCAAAGTAAGCATCATTACATAAAAGCATACGGTCTTTTATTTCAATAGTTTTATTCATTTCAAACGGGCCGGATCTGGCCCGCGGGCCTAGTTTGCCCACGGCTAGTAGTTGCTAGGGATATAGCAAAGAACAAATCAGACAAAAATCCCTTACCGAATTACATTTAAGGGGGAGGGGGGAAGAAAAAATACATAATAAATAAAGCATGTAAGTTCTATGGAGGCCCCCCCCCAAAAAAAGCAAGGTGTATTTTGGAATTTCATTTCAAATTAGCCCACACTGACAGGGAGTGAGCTCGCTCGGAGCCCTGTCTGCAGCAGCGGTGAGCACAGGCTAGGCCCGAGCGAGGACCTGCGGGGAGAACAGGTGCTTGCTTTCTTGATGCTCTCTCAGAAAGCACTTTTAAAGGCTCTCCGAACTAGTCTGGCGGCTATGGCTCCGTGGTTGAGTGTCAGCCTATGAACCGGGAGGTCAGGATTGGATTCCCAGTTGCGGGCTTGATCTCCAGTAGGGGACCTGCAGGAAGCAGCCGATCAATGATTCTCTCATCATCGATGTTTCCCTCTCTCTCTCTCTACTTTCCTCTCTGAAATCAGTAAAAATAAAAGATCTCCGAATAAGGCATGCCCGAGCTGTGCTCTGCATGTTTGCTAACAGCTTGCGAAGTGCACTGGTGGCTGCGTATTTACAAGTGAGCAGACCTTGTTAGTTGACCCTGCTGTCGGACCTGTTTGACCGTGCGTCATGCTTCATGATTAATGGGACTTGTCAGACACTACTGTCGAGAAACAAAACATGGTTATTCCAATTAACAGCCACTGGTAATTCCGTGTCATTGACTTCTTGGACGCACTGCTTTTGGTTTCTGAGATGGACTGTGGGCACCCCTGGCATCTCTCGGCCTCCTGCCTCTACTTTCTTGGGTCAAAACAGATGAGGATAAAATAAATAAATAAATTAATTAATTAAAAAAACAAACAAACAGATGAGGGTCTTTACCTAATGAGCTACTACCTTAAAGATTCTGTTACCCTCCATACCCACAGCCTCTCTGAACTGGTCCCCCTGCTAGTAAATTAGAGGCTGTTGGCATATGTTTAGATCAATTTGTCTAGTACATCCTGTTCTTAGTGGGGTCCCTCCAACTGGGCGTCCTCTATGGACAGGACCATACCTATCCAAGCATGTCTTCCTACCCCGGAGAACTAAAAACTGGCCTGGTAAGGAAAGTTCAGATCTCCCACATTTGTAGAAGATAGAATTCTTCGAAATGGGAAAATCTCCCAACTATATACTTGGGCAACAAAGCCATGAAATAGCAATGGATTTTTTTTTTAATCCTCGCCTGTGGACATGTTTTTATTGATTTTAGAGAGAGAGGAAAGAAGGGGGAGAGAGAGAAACACCAAAGTGAGAGAGAAACATCTATCAATTGCCTCCCATACATACCCTCACCAGGGACTGAACCCACAACCTTTTTGTGCACGGGATGATGCTCCAACTAACCGAGCCACTGGCCAGGGCAGCGTGGATCTTAAACCTTTGAGAACACCTGCTTCCATCAGAGGAGACCCTTTCAGGACCCTGCACTCTGTTTTTCAGATTTTTTATTGGTGCCGAGTCTTGGGGTGAAGGACTCTGGGTTAGCCACTGGCACACTGCCTGCTGCTTGCGTTGCCATCGGCCTCTGAATACTGGACCCCTCGAATTCAGAGCATCCTCTGCTTCCAGTTCCTTCGCTCTTTTCATCTGCTGATTGACTCATTGAATCATTCATTCTAGAAATAACTTTTTTGTCTACGAGGTGCCAGGCGTGGGGTTGAGCCTAGCCAACCTAGTCTGCCCTCACTGCACTGGCCATGTCTGGCGGATACTTCCACTGCCCTTCCCCAAACCAGCCCTTGGAGAAGCCGCTGGGGGCTCCCAGCTTCCCGCCGCAGCGCCGAGCTCCGCCCACCCCGCCCACAGCCCGGCCACTTCCCCTTCTTGGCCATAGGAAGCGGGCAGAGGCTTGGACGAACCAGAGCAGCCTCACATACACTTTTTTTTCTAAAGAAGGAGCAGCAACAGGAGAGTTGGAAAGAGCTCCACTTTATTATGAACATTGTTTTTGTCTTTAAAAACAGGCAATTGATAAGGAAGGAGAAGGCGGGGAGAACTGAGGCGCTTCGCTAGTCACACCGAACCCTTGCAATTCATTTGTGAACCATGAAGAGGAACAGAATTAAATAACCAGATGGGGGTTCAGAGCTAAGATTCCCAGCCTTCCCTCTTGGCGAAAACTGAGGCGGAGTAACACTGAGCAAAAGCGGAGGAGGCCACACCCGGTGAGGTGACTGGGGGACAGGGACTAGGCTCCCGCGGACATGGGAACAGGCGTGGCTTGTAAACCTGGGGCCTTGGGAGGGGAGCTGGGGGTGTTTGTAAACCCGGTTATGGTCAAGAGAGGAGGCAAGAGCCCAGCCCGTGGGGCTCAGTGGTTGAGCATCAGCCTGTGAACCAGGAGGTCACGGTTCGATTCCCAGTCAGGGCACAGGCCCGGGTTGCCGGCTTGATCCCCAGTCGGGGCGTGCAGGAGGCAGCCGATTGATGGTTCTCTCTCATCATTGATGTTTTTATCTCTCTCCCTCTCCCTCTCTGAAATCAATAAAAAAATATTTTTAAAAAGAGAGAGGAAGCAGGAGCTGTAAACGAAGGGCAGTGCCTAAGGAACAGGAGAAAGAGGTGCCTATGAAAGGACTGGGCCGGCCTCCCGAGGAAGGCTGCCGGGAGGTGTGCTGTGCCCACAGATGGAGGGTTCTCCTCCACCCCTCCCGTGAGCTCGGCCTCCGCCTGGGACTGGGCCGCCCAGGGAGCGTGAGCACAGCTGGCACTCACTCTGGGGACTGGGGGCGAGGTGGCCTTTGGGCTCTGTCCTCAGAGACAGGGCGGGGACAGCAGGTCGGAGGACGCGGGCTGCCCTTCCTGCCAGGCTCCTTTCAGGGGCGTCTGTTCTGAACTTCCGGGACCCAGGATCTTCATTTCGGGAAGGAGGAAGGTAGGTCCCTGTGTTGAAAGAGGGTCACCTCCGGCAGGACTCATCTGTGGGAGAGGCGATAACGGGGGGTGAGTGCCAGCCTCTGCCTCCGGCTCCCCACCCGCCCACCCGAGGGCCAGGAGCACGGGGAAGTTGTCTAACATTGTCCACACTTGAGTGCTTGCTCCTACCAGGAACAGCAGCAGCCACACTCATTCCCTCATACTCTGCCAGGCATTCTTATCACAGCCTCCCAACAACCCCAGGTGCGGTGAAGTGATGTGATGTCCAGCCATGGTTCTAGGTCAGCGGTTCTCAACCTGTGGGTCGCGACCCCTTTGGCGGTCAAACGACCCTTTCACAGGGTCGCCTAAGACCATCCTGCATATCAGATATTTACATTACGATTCATAACAGTAGCAACATTACAGTGATGAAGTAGCAACAAAATAATTTTATGGTTGGGTCACAACATGAGGAACTGTATTTAAAGGGCCAGAAGATTGAGAACCACTGTTCTAGGTGCTTCATTAAAATTATTTAACCCTCTCAGTGACTCCAGGAGGCAATTATTTTTAACTCCTTTTCAGTAATAAATTGAACTCTGGCCAGTGTGCTCAGTGGTTTTATTTATTTATTTATTTATTTATTTATTTTTATTGATTTCAGAGAGGAAGGGAGAGGGAGAGATAGAAACATCAGTGATGAGAGGGAATCATTGATTGGCTGCCTCCTGCACGTTGGGCTGAGCCTGCAACCCAGGCATGTGCCCTTGACCAGAATCGAACCTGGGACCCTTCGGTTCACAGGCTGACGCTCTATCCACTGAGCCAAACCAGCCAGGCTGCTCAGTTGTTTTAGTGCGTTGGCCTGCAAATTAAAGGGTCCTGGGTTCGAGTCCGGTAAAGGATATGTACCTGTGTTGCAGGCTCAATCCCCGGTTGCAGTCAGGGTACGTGTGGGAAGCAACCACTCGATGTGTCTCTCTCACATC